CTGAAACGAGGAAGGGCAGCTGGTCCAGATGGATTGGCTCCAGAGGTCTTTAAGGATGGTGGTCCAACTTTAGCGATTAAGTTGACTAATATTTTAGCTAAGATCTGGGAATTAGACTTTATCCCATCTGACTGGTCGCAATCACTTATCGTCCCAATATATAAGAAAGGGTCAAAATCATCCTGTGACAACCACAGAGGGATTAGTTTAACAAACATAGTATCTAAAATACTGGCCTCGATAATTATCAAACGCCTAAGACTCGTGAACTACAAACTCGAGAAAACCAAGCTGGCTTTAGACCTGGTCGTGGCTGCATCGACCACATATTCACCATGCGTCAGGTTCTAGAACACAGGCATACCTATCGGCGTCCGACGATGGTGGTATTTCTCGACTTAAAAGCAGCATTTGACTCGGTAGACCGCGAGACTTTGTGGCAGTGTCTGTCATTGAAAGGCGTACCTCAGAAGTACATAAACCTTGTGAAGACTCTTTACTCGAACACTACTAGTCGAGTCAGGGCTTATGGCGAACTGTCATCTACTTTTGCAACCTCAAGTGGTGTCCGTCAAGGCTGTCCACTTTCTCCATTTCTGTTTAACTTCATCATAGACCTATTGATGGAAATAACACTCTCGTCGATTGAATTCTCGGGTATTGATCTCCTTCCAGGAGGTCCACTTATCGACTTAGAATACGCAGATGACATAGTCCTGTTTGGTGAAGACGCTGACAAAATGCAGTCTTCTGGTAGCACTGAGCAACAATGCCAGGATGTTTGGAATGCGCTTCTCTCCCTCTAAATGCAAGTTGTTGCTTCAGGACTGGTCTGCGTCAACACCTGAACTAAGGATAGGGAGTGAAGTAGTCGAACACGTTAGCAACTTCACTTACCTTGGAAGTCTGATCAGCCCTAATGGGTTGGTATCGGACGAAATCTCAGCACGGATTCGAAAAGCTCGATTGGCTTTTGCCAACTTGCGTCAACTATGGCGAAGGCGAGATATCCGTCTATCAATAAAAGGACGAGTATACTGCGCGGCAGTCCGTTGTTTTAATTTACGGCAGCGAAACATGGCCATTAAGAGTAGAAGACACTCGTAAGCTATTAGTATTTGACCACAGATGCCTTAGAAATATTGCTGGTGTCTGCTGGGATCACCGGGTAAGTAATAGTGAGGTTAGACGCAAAGTATCAGGGAATGATTGTAAATAGGTTGATGAGGTTGTGAATCTGAGATGGTTGGGCCACGTGTTACGTATACCTGAACACCGATTACCACGACGTGCAATGCTAACCGGGGTAGGGGATGGTTGGAAGAAAGTTAGGGGCGGCCAAACCAAAACGTGGCATCAGTGCCTGAAGTCACTAACTTCTAGTCTGAGCCATGTTGGTAGATGCAGACTACTTGGTTGAGGTCCGCGTGACTTTCGCAACCAATGGTTGGAGACTCTTGGTGACATGGCTCAGAATCGATCACAATGGCGTCGGTGTATACACTCCCTGTCTTCCCTTAAATTAAGAGACTAAAATCACTTCATTCTTTCTGTCTACGAACTAATTCTTTCTTCCTATACTATATCCTTATTGCAACCTTTGACCTAACCACTCCTATGAATCCGCTGTTCATCTTGCTGTGCTAATGAGGTATGGCAACCTGGACCGATGCACATATGTGCCTGGTCCTACGTTGTAGATGACTGACTGACTGTCCTGCTTTTCAGCTTGATGAAATAATCACACAAGCGAGGCCATGAGAAGTAGCAGTCAAGCCAACAGACACAATGAGGGTATATTGCGTTGGCTCCCTATACTGGCTAGGTCAGTTTAAGTGGATAACCATACTTGGATCATGTATGCACATTTCAAAAACGCAGCATACATTGATGGTACTAGATCCTCGAATCATAACTAAGGAAGCCTATTGTCTGATTAGACATAAGGTTCGGACATTGAAAGCACCAGCATGTAATTCAGAGCACTGTTTCAAGATACTGGGAATAACGGTTCGTGAACTTGAATCGTTAGAGTTGGTAGGGCGTAGTTGTATAATCATAGGAGAAGGGTTGGTCGCGGCGACATAGGAAATACTTAAAAGTAAAGGTGAGGTTTGTTCATGAAAAAAGTGACTTTGGATGCTGTTAGAAGTATGCGAGCAGTTGTCGCTTCCCGGTTGCTCACATCATGAAAAGATACCTCTTGAGCGACCTGTAAACAGAACTGGATATTTAGTGCTATCGCTTGTCAGGAAGCATAACCTCAAAGCCAACAAGACAACCTCTTGAGCTCTGCCATATGCGGCCTATTCGCATGGATTTTTCTGATGTACTAGCTCCTTTCCTTCAGGGTTTTACAGACATTCACAGAAATGTGTGATGGTGTAATGCGTTATTTTTGGAGTAAACCTAATCTAACTTTCTCCTTCAATTGTGAGGTGGTGTCTCTGCAGAAACTGGTTGCCCGAGGGAAATACATTTTTACCCTCATACACCACAACAGTCAGCAGTATGACTTCACCCTCGAGCATTAAGTTGCTTCTTTTAGTCTTACCGTCATACCGATGTTAGGATCTACATGAATAAGCATTTCAGCTAACATAGGTCGATTGGTTCATCACGATGGGAAAGCCCGACCACCACATCGGGGTGACAGCTACGGTCAGGAGTACTGCTACCACTACTAGTAGTAATAATAATAGGAAGAACAAGAAGAAACTAGAGAGTAAACGACGAAAGAAAATAAAACTAGAGAAAACCATGCATGGAATAAGATATTTAGCTATCATGATAAGTTATGGAATATATCTACTGGACATTTCTAACTACCGATTTCTCTTCTTTTATAGATTTTAAATTACTTTTCTACTCCAGTCAGATTAAGTTAGTTTCATTTTGGTTGAACCAGTCAGTGGATTTCCCACATCACTTAGTTTTATTGGTGTTGTATTCTTGTCAACTAGATGAAGTTGCCTGAAACCCTAGGTTGGATCTCAATAATGCACACTTTAAACTTTAACCCTACATGACTGGATCTTCAAATGCATCGCTCCTTACAAAAATATAGCCTTTTTATTTCACCTGCATTTAGCAAATAAACTTAGTATTTGTATGCTGGAACCGCTCCAACAGAGTATTCCATTATAAGACAACCTATAAGTGAAATAAGTTAGTAGATGGTTATCAAAACTATATTACTCATGACAAGATTTTAATTAATACTAAATTGTCGAGGGCAATGCAAATATATATTTCAGTTAATTAGTTTAATCAACCTAAGTGTGAATAAGGACCATTTCTGAAAAACAATCTTATATTTAAATGAAGACGTATTCAGAATACGAACAGGTATGGCTCACATTGTTTGGTAGATTAAGTTTTGCTAACACCTCAATAGGATAGTGTTGTCTACGTAACTGAATTCAATCGAGAGTTTTTCGATGGAAATCAGCCACTGAGTAGTCTATAGCAGTCATCACCAAGACATAGTTAACGATGAGGACGACTATAAAAATTGTAAGAATAAACACCACTGACTAACTAAATTATTGTGACAGATATTGAACATGAAGCTTTAGGGTAAGTGGGTCTTATTTCAATCGCAATTAATATTAGGATCAACCAAAATAAAATGGCATGTTGTAACAGTTAAAAATAAAAACCAAATAATAATAATAATAATAATAATAATAATAATAATAATAACACGTTATGAATGATGAAATCATAAGGTAAGAAGAAATAAGTATCCCCATCGAAGTTTGAAAAAACATGAATATTTGTTTTGGATTGAGTTTCATCTGTTCTTAATATCAAGTTAAAAATACGTTCCTTCTTGCAAGAATTCCAAGCGGACTTCGATATTTACCTAAATGTTAAGGAATCACATTTATAGCATGTTATGGCACTTCATGTGGTTGTTAATCTATGCCATTTTAGATGTAATTCATATTCTCTGTTAAAAAATTGAAGAACTAGCGATTTTTCAAAGCAACATCCAAAATAGCTTGATTATTCTAGGGATAGAATCGCACTGACTAAACAAACCATTCAATCTAGAACGGTGGTTCAATAGCTAATACATTCGGTATTTCGCCCCCATATTGCGGGCTCGAATCCACCTTGACCTACTTCTGTTTGGGCAACCTGACGGTATCACTAACCCCCACACTTATAGTGCACCTAGTAGCAAAATAAACTGATCTTTATATTGCGAATGAGATAAATAGAAAATCTGTGTAGATCTTTATATCTAACATTAGAATTTCATATTGACTGGCCCTCCCAATTTACAGCCTTGGAAATTTTAGCAGTAAAAGTCTGGAGACGAGTTGAGAGATCCCGCTCTCCTTATCGAAATGCTCTTACATGAGCAGGCATGTACAGCCACTGCTAGGTGAAGTTCTAACCATTGAAGGTTTACAGACTTTAGTCACTAAATATCTTGCCAAAGAGAAACATGAAAATATAGGGTTTTATTACGACTTATAGTGAAAAGGAAAATCTCAGAGATCATATTGTGATAGTTTAGACACTATGAGTAGTACGCTATATATGTTGGACCAAAATCGTTTAGGTGGGGTCAGACTGAGATAAAATCACAGGAAACACTAAACTATGATAACCATTTCTTTAGAAATAATGAAGTTAGATATTTGGTAGATAACAGAATGTTATCAAATGACAACAATATAACCAGAAACTACAGGTTTACATGCTAGATTGAGTTGCACATTTACAAAAATATATTCTGTACAGTTGTCATATAGAACCAGAAATCCATAAGCAAAATTTAAATCACTAAGCTAGTGGTCGAAATGTACTCCAGTTCAGATACCTGAACAGTAATCAAACCACGACTGTAGCTAATAGAAACACACATTTCATTACAAAGAACTCCATTTTAACTTGACAAATCGAAGAGAGAAATAACCAAAAACTTGGTGTTTAGTATGGAAAATAGCAAAATAAAACGCGTATAAAAGATCTAGAAAACATACCTACTTAGGATCAGGCCCTTAGCTTATTATATGCACTGGATAAACCCGTCCTTCACATCTAAAAAATTGTAGCGAAATTTTCCAAATAAGTTATGCATTTTCGAAACACAAAGTATGGTAATAGTATATAAAATTATGTTAATTTGACAGAATCGCCTACGTATCATCCAGAGCTTAAAAGGCCTGTATTTCATTATTGAACTGCACCAAATTAAACCGATCCCAGTGAAAAATTACACCATCCAAACTTATGGTAAAACTGATTTCACCAATAATAAGATTCGTTTAGAAAATAATTAATAAGACTGATATTGTTATATACATTTCTACTTATTTCCCGTAAAATTCGAAAACTCTCTGAAGTGAGAAAGGTAGATGTATTACTCCGCAGTTGGTGGAGACTTGAACGCTCTTACATCAATTACATCTGACTAATAAATGCTGCTCAAACTACGATACTACATCCACGTTCGTTTCAACCCTAATATGAAAAAAGTAGAATGGGTCGTCAACAATTAAGTTTTATTAACATAAAGATGGTGTGCAATAGGATGAATCTCAAGAAAATAAGTATAAATCCATAGGCAACTACACATATGAAAAGATTGCAAACTGCCAAAAAATATGACGGATGTATTTTACTATAAGCTATAAACCACGTCAAACTACTTATATTTTCATATATTTATCTCTAAAATATCAAAGAACTTACAGTGAAAACATACCAATTCCAGTGATACTTAGGGAGGATAGGAATTACGTAGAACTTTTAGAATGTTCAGTTTAAGTGAAAATCTTCATGCGCATTAAAAACAAGCATATATAGTTCACTTGACTGTTTTATTTCTACAACCTCGTGAATCCCAAACAAGTTTATAGAGCGACTCAAGCCAACAGAATCTTTTAGTTGGTAATAAACGTTTCTTGTTTAATCTAAGGCTTTTGTCATCCTATCTCTACGTTGTCTAGGGTCACACATTATACTTAGCAGCTAGTCCAAATTGTACGGAACCACAGTACTAACTGACTTTCATAAAGTCTTTCTGATTGGTCTATTCAATAATAGTGATTTGTGGGTAGAAAAACCGCTCAAATTTGATTGCGATATGGGAGTTCACACACTTGCTGTATTCCTGTTGATCACTGAGCTTATGCCTCTCGAAATTACCCTCACAGTCTTTTTACCGCAACTGATGTTACCGTTATATGTACCCATCAGTTTCTCATCATATAAACTTCTCTCATTGATTTGATCAGATCAGATAAACAGCACATGGAATTGTAGTAAAATGGATTGACACGTATTTCTTTACAAGTTACATACTGTATGATTGATTATGTCAACAACGAATCCTGGACATTAGTTGTATCAAGAAAATCAAGAAGAGTAACAGTAAGTGACTACTTAGTAACTGGATCGATACTGATTAATACAGCTGACAGCTTCATCATTAACCATACATGCAACAAACCAGGTTTGAACCAATCCAACTAATAAATAACACTGAAATTAGCAATTACACGACACTCCTCAAACTTACCGTGATTCGAAACCAATCAGAGATTAAACGACAGATATCTTAATTATGACTAAATATTGCCATAAAACGAACGTACTCATTTCTAAACTAAACATATTTTAAAATGACTGTAGAGCCCACTATGGATAGTGCGACCGAGTGACTAGACTATCCAAATTGGAGGATAACAGATCTGAAAGTGTTTGTTAACACCAAAGATCAAGTGCAGAGAGATCAACTAGTTTGTACTCCATCACTATAAAAATATAATCCAATTCCGGAACTCCGGGGTTTTTCATACAAAGAGCGGTTTGAAAACCTGGAACTCCTATTGCAGACTGAGGGGAGATCTAATTTTGATGTACAGAATACTGAGAAATGATTTCGGACCTAACTTATTCTTTCTTTCTTCCCACTAGATCGGGACACCTCAGAGGACATAGCAAGCGAGTAGAAAAGCCAAGAACGAACAAAATACCCGTGGTATACAGGTTTTCACACCGAGTCATCAATACTTGGAACCTGCTGCCTGAAGCAGTGGTGTCCGGACCTTCAATTGAACCATTTGACGCTTTCAAGAGAAGACTGGACACTCACAGAAGCATACTAGAAAAGGAATAACATAAGCCGTAGGCCTTCTATCCTTACTACACAAATCTAAAATCTGAATATGATCACCTAATTTTCGATTTTTCCCTAAAGTCATATGAAAATCCTACGATTACTCACGCTTGATGAAGAACTTAAGTTATAGATGTTGGGCACTTCACAACATCCCTTACCTAGTTCTCTTTAGTTTACACGACGGTCAGTGCTTGTGAAACCACAGTTTTACGTCAAAAAACAGTAGAAAATGTAGCAGAATATCAATTGACCTTCAGGATATGTACTTAGAAATCCCGAATCCTATTGGTCAGGATAAATAACCCGCTTTTAACCGTTTGACAGAAAAAATATAAACCAACTTTTGGGAAATGCTTCAACCTTAAAGCTCCGAACAAAAGTATACATATCCTCTCTGCATCTAATAAATAGAATTCACATGTTTGTGTTTGATGCTGTTTCAAATAAAGTCTTATTTACACATAGTTATTCGAGTGTGTGACAGTAGCTGACACATTTGACAAATTTTCAAAATTGCTCATAGATGTGAACTGTTCTATTCCACGATCTGAATAAGAACCTACTACAACTACCGATCCATGCTTTCCACATATAAAACTATGTGTAACTACCAGAAATAAAGTCTTGTATCGTCAAATCAACATCAATCGGGATCGTTAAGCCACAATATTCATTGATTGCTCCCGCCCTAGACAAGCATAGCCAAGTGCCAAAGTGCCCCTGCAGTAAATAAATCCGTAAAATGAAGGCATTCTTGTCTCAGTACAAACTCAAATCATAGGTTATCAACACTCCTAGATCTTTTTTCAACTTCGGATACTCATAGAAAGGAATAACCAAAGCTATATGCATAATCTACGACATGTCTCAGGTAGACCACTTTACACATTGAAGTGCCAAAGGTAAGTTCATTGTCATCTGCCTGACCTGACTTCGAAGTCAAGTCGGAATCTCCGGAAGTGCGAGCGTATCATCTCGGTCTCAAATTCTCTCCAAAGTTTCACGTTGTCAGAAAATTAGTGAATCAGACGACACTTGCTGGTGAAGGTCATGTATAAACTAAGAAAGGAAGAGGTTCTAGTATCGAACCCTGATTGATCTCACCAGGAGAAAAATGGAAATTTACCCTGCCCCCCAAAAGTTGATTACTTGGTTAAGAAATAAACAAACCAACTAACGGTGGCTGGATACCTGACCATTTGAGCTTACTGGTGAGACATATAAGATTGAACTAATAGAAAACTTTTGAAAAGTCAAGGTATATGGCACCAGCCTCCCCCTTGCAATCAAAGATAATTAACTTCTCAGTCCTGTTGAGTTGGGGGTGAAGCTGTTGTCGATGTAGTTTGCATGGAACGGTTAAAATGTCTGAAAGTAATTTTCCACCAAGAGATCGGTGGCATCACCGTAGTTGTTGGTTGAGCAATTAGTAAGATATCTCAAAGTTCGTCCATCTCAAGTTGAGGCCGGAATTCCCAGTCTACCTAATGTCGGTTGTCCCGTAAAGCTGACACATCAAACCGTTTGAAATTCCAACGTCTGTTGCTGGTAAGATGTTTTAACTCAGTTTTGCTGACGAAATTGAAGGCAATGACGGCGTGATCACTTTTTCCAAAAACAGCCAGGGTTGTCGATTACGTTTTCCTCGTTTGTAAATGCGCAGTCTAAGAGTGACGACATATGACTATTTTTTCGCCGTGTCGCCAACTCCACACTTTCGAATAATTTCAAGTTATCAATGAAGTTAGAGACACGAGCTTCGGTAGAGTTGTAACCTCCAATGTACGTATTCTCAGTGAAGCCAAATTTAGGGAGATTGAAGTCTCCTAGAATCAGGATATCAGTGTTTTGGAGACGAGTAGAAAGATCAGTGTAGGATATTTTGACGACACTGGGACTGGTTGGATAAAGCGGAGACGTGGTCAGTGTATGACATTTTGTCGTGGTATGAAAGAAAGCTGTACAGGATTGGCTTCTGTTGGTCCATCACAATCCCTGGTTGGGTTTCTAGAGAAAGTTCGACACAATGGCAAGAGACGTTATCAGATATGGCTCAGAATAAAAGCCAGTGGAGATCTTGCTGTAACTTTATTTTACTTCATAAATAGGAATGAACGTAATTTCTTGAAATGGAAGTATTCTTTCTGGTTTTACCTTTGATAACTGAACTGACTCTTCCATTATTATTATTTTACTCTCATACTCTAACTTCTGTTCGTTTTTGTTCCCTTTTTTCTTAAACTTACCTTACATTCCTGTATCTTTTCACAACTTTATTGCTATTGTTTGGCACAAATGTAATTGGTTCCTCTTTTTACCATTATTTATTCGCTCGAATAAGTAAATAGGTAAACGGAACTAACACAAAAATTATCCTCAAAACGATCGTGTGTGACTGGCTTCAAGCATTTTTCCCTTGGATACGGTGGTCATATACTTAGGTCGCTCTAACACAAGTTACTTTATAGGTACCCCTCGGAGAACACTTCTGTTGTGTGGGCAACGGGTGAGGAAATCTGGAATCTCCTAGAGTCAGTATATGAGTGTATTGGAGACGAGTAGAAAGGGATAATTCCTACAGCGTACGACCGTTGTACTCACTGTCAGTAATCGGCTTCATGGACATGACTCCCAATAGACATTTCTAGGTGTTAGGCGAACTCCCTGAACACCGTATAGATTCATCAAGATTCATAAAATATTGAGTATGCATGTGACGTGCTTTTCAGTGAGGTTACAGGGACAGGTCTACTTTGCCCTGCATTCCAGTTTTTCTGTCGTTGCGAAACAACGACATACCGAGTATTGCTAGCGTCTGGTCTGTAATTTGGGAGGATGTCCATGTTTCATGTGTATTTATCAGATGAGTATTATTAACGCTACTTAGTTCACACATCTCATCCATTTTGTCCAGTAAACTCACAATGTTCGTATAGGCAGTTTATGGCCTCGGTTCGAAACGCGCGATCTTCCTCATCCTGTTTGTCTGAGTCAGCCGTATGTAAATGGACAGGCAACTTACTTATACAGGATTTTTAGAGTTGGAATTCCGGATGCATGTAGACTCTAGTTGATGACCGGCATCTGTTGGTACGACATGAATCGACCGTGGTGGCCACCACTTGGGAGGATGACTGTTACCTTCATTAGGCGCAGTCTAGAATCCCTTTTCTTCTTGGCTATTGCACCACTTGTTCGTCCATTATGTTCTTAAGCTCCAAGGACTGCATTATGAGCTCCTACGCAAGAATGCCACAGCCTGCACGATCAGGGTCCATGTTTTATATGACACCTAGGATAATGATACGTCTCCGCGAACGAACGTCTAGGGAACTTACTCAGGAATGTTCCTAGTGAGATTAATCTTAGAACGTCGTATATCAAGCAGTGTTTTACATACTCTTCTGATTACGACAAATATATCGAACTCATTCATTCTCGACTTTTGGTTTGATAAAGTTAGTATTCTTCGCTTATAAATGTATTTCGACAGGAACATTGTCAAACTATGAACAATTGAAGTGTCTTTAGTGGTGAGCACGACTAGATTAAGTACACCAAACGATAAACTGTGTCTATTCCTCGTTGTGACTACATATTATCGTTTTTAACCTCTACTTTTACTATTCGTGAAGTTAGTTTTCTATTTTCAAGAACACAGTGACAGTGGAACCTTTGCTCGCTGATTTAATTTGATTGTTGTGATCTCTTGTTACGCATTAACAACACTTTAATTCACCTTTCGTAGTTAAAGTAATCGACAGGAGTATCATTTTTCTCAAAAGTAATTTGTCACCTGTAATTTCCAAACACATTTAATCATTTATTATTTTTTATACTTCTGTTTCTAACTATTCATCGTTTTTCATTGTATTCTGATCATCGGTTTCTCTTGCCTTTGGATATCGGTTTCGTTCACTTCGTTTGTGAAAACTTCTGATTAGTGACTGCACAGTGTAAGAAAGTAATTGCTAACGCTCAGGCTGTCGATACTCTGTGGAAATTCGCATGCAATGCTATGAGAGTAAATGGTAGTGTCACGAAGTTTGCACAAATATAACGCCTGTGACGTTCGAACGGTTTAGTAAAAATGGTTGCGCGCTGTTGTGTCAGCAATGCTTCTCGAATGAAAACAACTATATATCCGAAGCCATTGCAGTAGTGAACGCTGCTAAATTGGGTGTTAGCAAGCGTACTCGAGACACATCAAATGGTGCTCGCTTTGTCGACTGACAAATTTATATGCACTTGCCCCGAATAAGGTAAGCGTCGATTGATTTATATTTTCCCAACCGAGGAAGGACGGTCTTAACAGAAGTCTGGCAGGAATAAAAACTAAAGAAGTGAAGTTTGTTCTGTCCCTCACCCACCAAATGTCATCGAGCAGAAAATACCTAGATAACCTGATCGCAAATCTTGGACTGTTTCTGGCAAGAAAAACAGCAGCCTGATTACCCAAGTTGTCGACAACCATTCAGGATCCCACAATATGTGTATGCACTTCAGAGTATACTTAACGTAATCAACAGAAATGCTTCGTCGAAACGCAGGTATTTTACGAATATAGAAAATGACATTTCCAGGTAGTAAAAGCCTTGAATTATCAATACTTCGGCTTTTTAAAACCCCGTGTGAAGTCAAATTCTTTTGGCACGACTAAATTCTTCATAGTTAACTGAAGCGCTGTTGACGACACTGATATTATTTACGAACAGTTCAACCAACATTTCTCGCAGTGTTACAGAACTGGAGCTGAAAGCTCTACCAGTACATTTCCAATGCTGACATCCAGACAAATATCGAAAATTGGTTTTATACCCTCCAACATCAAGCAGGCCACAGCTGCCCTGAAAAAGTCGTATGGTGGTGGACCTGACGGGATCCCTTCATTATTTGTGAAATACGGTGGTAGAGAATTCACTCTATTTTGCTTGAAAATTTTCAAACTATCTGTGGAATATGGGACCTATCCATCTGTATGGAAAACATCTCATACCATCCCTAGATTCAAAACAGGATAACGTAGTGATATTGTTAATTATAGGTCAATTCATTTGACATCCGTGCTCTCAAGAAGCATAAAGAAAATAATCCACAAACAGCTATTAACATTTTTACTTTCGGTTAGTCTGATAAGCCCATCTCGACACGGGTTTATGAATAAACGCTCATGTCTCACATCGCACCTGGAATTTTTTGAATAAATTACCCTGAGAAGAGATGTTGGTCAGTCAGTGATAATTCTTTACTTCGATTTTAGTAAGGCTTTCAACAGTGTCTCACACAAACTTCTTCTTCTAACACTTTCTTC